ATTGATATTTAATTAAGTTTTTTAACTGATATTCATTCTTCCATCAGTGGCTCTACAGCCCTTTGTTAGGCCCTGACCTCTTCTTCAGTTTCGTAAACTTTTTTATACAGGCGGTAGGACTCCTTAGATGAGTGATCAGCCCGTCGCAAGGCCACTACCTACACAGAACAACACAAACAGATCAAACGCACACACAGACATCTGTGCCTCGAATGAGATTCGAACCCACGATCCCAATGTTCGAACGGCCGAAGACAGTTTATGCTTTAGACCGCGTGGCCATTGTGATGGCTGTTAATAATTAATATTAATATTATTACCCTCCAACCCGGTATAGAGTAGTTGGTATAGCGATTGACTAAGGGCTGGACTACCAAAGGGTCGGAGTTCGAGTCCCGGTAGGGTCAAGAATTTTCTCTTTTTCACGTCGTCCAGACCGGCTCTGGAGTCCACCCAACCTCCTACTCAATGGGTACCGGGGGCTCTTTCCCTGGGGGTAAAGCGGCAGGGTCCTGAAACTGACCATTCACCTCCAGCTAGTGTCGAGGTTAAGAAAATGTAGATCTATATATCCACTCCGCCGGTCACGGTAGCCGAGCGTTCTAAGGCATGTACTGTCTTCGCTCGCTTAGAAACCGGGATCGTGGGTTCGAATGTTTCCTGTGAGGTACGAACTGAATTCTTATATATTATTTTTATACACTGCCGGTCACGGTAGCCGAGCGGTCTAAGGCATGTACTGTTTTCGCTCGCTTAGAAACCGGGATCGTGGGTTCGAATCCCACTCAGGACATGGATGCTTAGTTTGTGAGTGTGCGTTTTTCTGTGTTTGTGTACAGGTAGAGGCCTTGCATACCACAATCCGTCCTGAGATACAAACTTGTCGAGCTATCTTCTTCCGGGTCTCCCAACAGCATTTCCGCTGCTGCGCTTCTCTGGGGTCACTTCGGCAACCCCGCTGTCATTGCCACCTACTATTATGGCAGCCCCGTGACCGTTCTCATTACGCACCTACGCACAGACCTCAATGACTACATAACAAAGCCAAAATGGAGAGGTTTTCCACCATAAAGAAAAATGTTTTTATTACGTCACAATACTTTCTGAAGTTTGCATGTAAAACTGGAGAGGTTTTCCATCACACAGATGTTTTTGTTATTTCGTTCACAACATGTCTCGGTCCAGATAGGCCATCGTCAGGTGACACGTGACAAGTGCACAGATAATGACGGAATTCTATAAAATTTCAATGCTAGTAAAGTTTGAAAATTTGTTAGGTAAACTAGGTCGGATCTGACTTAACAGCATATACACAGTGCATTCTAAAAAATTAAAAACAGACGTATACATATTGAATTTTAAAATTAGAAGTAGAATAGTGTAAGTTGAGAATCACTATAAAGAGTATGGAATTCCCAGGGGGTTGAAGTGACAATGGAGGAATTTTAGAAAATATAGGGTCGAAATGATAAGGTGGGTGTGTGTGTATGTTTAGGGATGTTGTAATTAAGGCAAATATATTGAGCTTATACTGCGGGGGCGATGGAGCGTAGTTCATCATTCAAATTTATACCATCATCGTAATTTTATACAATTCCGTTCACATTTGTATATTTCTCACGTGTCACCTGACGATGGCCTATCTGGACCGAGACATGTTGTGAATGAAATAACAAAAACATCTGTGTGATGGAAAACCTCTCCAGCTTTAGGTGCAAACTTCAGAAAGTACCAGCATGCGATCTCAGGACCGTGGCAATAAATTATAAATTAAGTTACCATTCCACATTTCTTCCTGGAAATCCATTAAAATATCTGGATGTATGTGTGACTTACGTCCAGCAATACAACGCACGCAGCCACATAAGAAAGACACACCATAAGACACAATATATACACAATTAGAACATAAGAAGAACGACTCCCATAATGGATGAATGGCATTACACACGAGTTTGATAGACGACATGGAAGATGATATATCTTAACAAGTTTTAATATATAAATTTTATTATTGAACAACGACGAACACACATTTTATACCATTTTATAAATGGACACTTGATGGCAGGCAGTGCAATTGTTTAACGTGATTAATTCACCTGATGGCAGATTGATGCCGAAACATGTAGTGTGAAGTGACAAGTGAAACTGTATGCACTAAAAGAAGGTAAATATATACACATTATCTAGAAAATCGGCTCAAAGATGGCGGTAAGGTTGTCAGCCTTACGCGCCGGCCGCGCTTTACTTCCCACGAAAAGTATTCAATTAATTCCTGGTACTCATTTCTGTTAGAGGTTGAGTCGACCCAAGGGCCAAGATTAGGTAAATTGGAAAAAAAAAATGACTTCACCGGGATTTGAACCCACGACCTTCCGGCTTGTAGAATAGTGCCTATACCAACTACGCTAACGCGTGCCCCTTTTAATTAGTTTTTACTGGTTTTAATTAAGGTTCATTTATTTTAAGTCAAGAAATATCGCATTCACACGTGATATGAGAAGTTGGACATCCCAAACGTTGCAACAATTTTAGCGAATTAGAGACACCTGATGATGGCAGCGTACGGCCGAAACATGTTGTGAGAAGGAATGGGGAAAAAATAAGTTGCACTGTACACGGTAATATATTGTATGAAATAAATGATATATTAATGCAACAGGATGCTTAAATACAACATTTCTTCTCGCGTTGATAAGTTTCGAATTTCATACATGTATGTAAAAGTAAACGGTCTAGAAAACCGAAATTAACGGCCGTGGGGTTTCGTTGCGCTGACCACGCGACACCGTCTATCCGCAACAGTTGGCACTAAACTTCGCCGAGAACCGGCGGTCGCTCGGTCGGTATAGTTCGCTTGCGGACTGAAATCACGGAGTTTGATGTAAAAGTAAAGCTATCCCTGTAACAGGCCGTGGAGGCCTATATGGTTATGAGACGTCGAGGCTGACATATTTTCTAGACAATCGGTTCACAGATAGGCGGTGAGGTTATCAGCCTTATGCACCGGCCGCCTTTTACCCCCAGGAAGTTTCCTGATACGCAATTCTGTTAGAATATGATGTACTGATAACAAATGGTAAGGTATTTCATCTTTATAAAAATATAGAGAAAGAGGCCCTCCTGAATCTATAAGACATTCATACTACCTTGATTTCCGCGTGGTGAACTTTGAACTCCATATCTGAGGAACTTTCATGCGTCCAGCCTCCCCGATCTGCAGCTTCGTCCATTTCTGCTCCTTCCATCAAATCCTGTGGAGGAAAAAAATCACGCTTTATACACCGTATCAGGAGGTTCGGCTGCTCTTTAGCTAATATGTTTGCAGAAAAGGTTAGAAAACTAGAGCAGGGTAAGAGGTTTGATGTTACCATATCACAGATCAAACTAGTATGTAAAACGCATCATCATCTTACGTATGTAATGTTGCAAGAGATATTATGTAACAGTCATGAAAAACACTGCTTCGCAAACTGTGTCTCTTCAACATAACATGCGAACCACACTTAAATGCTTTTCTCGGTCAAGGAACATGTCCCTTCAGTGGCATTTCCTTCCCTTGAAAACAAAAATTCGCATTATGTTTTACAAATCGTTGCAATTCTGAAGGAGCGCTGCTTGGGATAGAACCCAACGGTGGACTTCATGATCAAGGTAATGAACTTTCGAGTTCCTTAAAAGCGGAGAATTTATTCACAAGCTAAATCGTTTTGTTTCAATTAAAACTCTTAAGCGATAAAGTAATGCAGGCTAATGAAGGTACAGATGCACTCTGACATCCCATATACGTAACTGTAATCAACACTGCTAAAACAAAAGATCTGAATTGAGCCAATTTCATCTCTCTGCCAGTCTCCAAATTAATTAAGCATTATGCCATGAAGACATCTGGGGGATTAGTGGTATAGCTCCACTATTCTTGAGCTCGGCGCTAGATGGAGGTGAGTGGTCAGCTTCACACCCAGAGAAATCGGCCCTGGTACCCACTGCATAGGAGGCTGGGTGGGTCCCAGAGCCGGTGTGGACGCTATAGAGAAAAGAAAAACCTCTACCCTGCTGGGAATCGAACCCCGGCCGTCCACCAGTCAACTCTACCTACTGAGATATCCCGAATCCTCCTTCCTTAATATAATTCTATATATATATTATTTTATCCCCCTTCACAGCTACAAGTCCAATCCATTATCCCAATGACATCAAATGATTTGTATCAGTAAGTCCCTACAGTCCATTCGCGGAGACGAAACAGTCCTCGTAAACAAATGCACGCGGTATCTCCTTCGCTCTTTGAATGAAATCATGCAGCGATCATGTGATGCGTGTACCGTTGCAGGGGCGTCCGAAGTTCACTCTTCAATCTGAATGCAAGTTAACGTGCGTCCGAATGCAGTGAGTACACTGAGTAACTGCGCGCTTTGTCCACTCCTTGCTGTCAGCTGTGGCGACTCGGGGCTTGCTTTGTTTACGCTGACTGTCTCGTCTCCGCGAATGGACTTATAGTTATGTAACCTAGCTTTCCAGTTTCCCTCATTTCTATGTCCCTCTTAGTTCAGGCACTTTACAAAGCACTTTACTTCTAAACATTTAGGTTACTTCTGCGAGGCAAGAGATCTTATAACTCACGCCAGGGAGAAGATTCCTTCTTTAGAAGCCAACAGGTGTTCAGTTAGCGAGATATTCCTCGCCCTTCATGGAACCCGAAGGTTACTTTTCGTGTTCACAGAGACCTATCACTGGATACTCATCCTATGCTAGATTAATTCAGCTTTCTCACTTCTTTAAGATCCATTCAAACGCTATTCCTAGCGGATTCTTCAGGTTTTACAAACAACACAATGCCAAAATTACTAATTAACCTTAATTTTATTATGAAAGGCATACGGTACACGTCGACTGCATCTGTGGTCCAGTGGTCAAATTTACTGGCTACAGATACAGAGGTCCTGGGTTCGATTCCCGGCGCTACCAGATTTTCTGATAAGTAGTGGGTTTGGAACGGGGTCTACTCAGCCTCGTGAGGTTAACTGAAAAGCTATTTCAAATAAATAGTGGCTCCGGTCTAGAAAATCGAAATTAACGGCCGTGGGGATTAGTTGCGCTGACCACGCGACACTCTCTATCCGCCGACAAGCGACGGTCGCTTGCGGACTCAAGCTACGGAGTTTAATTTAGTTTTACGGTACATGTCTGTGGTACTTCCTTCGCCGCTGAGTAACTCAGAATTTGATACAAAGTCGTAAAATAAGCCAATGAACAACCAACGAATCTGCTGTTTGGGTGGAAGGTTATTAACCAAGTAAGTTACAGTATTCAATGGTAAGGTAAGAAGCAGTCGTGGCCTCTCTGAAGGCCACATGGAGGGCCTGGGGAATATACACGTACGTGCATGTCGTAGTCCAAATTCAGGTCTCAACTGGCTGTCAGACTGTTTGATTCTCATGCTTCTGATGCTGTTTTAATTCGAAAGGTTAGCTCCTTGACATGAGAACAGATATAAATACGGGGCATGAATGGTGGACAAGTAAATACCTGAAGACTGCAGTAGTGGTCTACTTCAAGGAACTACCCCTTTGTCCTTTTCTTTTTAGAATTACTGGGTTTTCGAAATTTTTCAATCGTTCGGTATTCTAAAAACTAAAGAACACAACTTTTCGAAAACTAGATCTGTTTCCGAAACATTGTTTATAGTTTTTAGGATATGGGACGATGGAAAAAGTCCGAAAACCCAGTAATTCTGAGTGTTATACGCCATTGTGAGAATCTTTTAGAATCTTCTTTTTTCTCTCTGAGACTGACGTCAGTATGGCCGAGTTTAGAACAAGGTACTTACTGGATACAAGTCCATTACATTAAAGCTACGGCATATCCCATTTTCTCCCAGCTCTTGATTGGGTTGTTGTGACGCAGTAAGGGACATCAGGAGAAGCTAAAGAAGAAGTCAGGAAAGTACTAATTTCTTTCCCGTCCACTTCACCGCAAACAGCCACTCAGATCGCGTTAACTCGTCCATTTGGCACATTATTCTAGAAACGAAACCTCTTAGCTTCTGCCACTCTGACCGGCTAGCTCTCCGTTACGAGTGGACCCCAACTTACTGTTAGTCAAGGCCAAGGATTTTCTTCCTCGCGCTTCTAGTCACAGACTCATTTCAACCGCCCTACTTTGATTATTTTCGCTACACCTGCTTCATTAAATAATTTTAAAAGTTTATGGTTATACTTTGGTCTCAATATACAGTTTTCTTTAATTTGGCCAAAAATTATTCTTAATATTGTGGCATGTCAACGCGCTGTCAGGCAACGGTTCGGTAAACACACTTCCGCGTAGGTAGTGACGTCACACAACAGTGGATAGCGACCACGTACTGTGTTTTCTATATGTCGACGCTGGCGGTTTATAGGGGACAAGAAAGGACGTTTGCAAGCAGTCGTACGCTGGAGGAGTGAGTACAGGAGAGAGTTTTTAGTTGAGTTCCGAGGTTTGAGGGCGATTGAAGAAGAAATGCAACAAGACTTCATAGTGATCTGAAGTGCTAGTTTCTGTGTTGAGATCCGCTGCTAGGAGACGACTAGTGGAAGCTGAGAATGCTAGTGCGTGTGTAACTGTGAACTGTAAATTGTGTGAAGTTCTGCAGACGAAAAATACAGATGTACAGGCACGGCCTTCTCATTTTATGCAATTTCATAAGGAAAGCATAAACCAGTTTGATGTGAGTCAGTACCTCAGCAAAATTTAATACGGGCAACAAACACAACGACAAAAGAAATACAGTCAGACTAACAAGGCAGAAACGCCTATTCAGCGTGAAGGCTAACAGTGAAAACCATGAATCAGTTTGTTTGACACTGTGGAGGGTTCTTCAAATTCAGTGGTATAAATACATTTCAGTGTCTTAAGTTCAGCAAACGCAGTGTTTGTTTTGTATTAGCCAAACCATGAAATTATTTCAGAGCAATAAACATATGCGAAATGGAATATAAACACAGCACAGCAAGCCTCGGGCCACTCTTCTGCGGAATATGAAGGACAGTAGGGAACTCGGGGATAAAAGAAATCAGATTTTCTTTCCTACAGACTAGCTCAGCCCAGACGTGCAGTAAGGTAACAGCGTCAGAGAGGCAAGGGAAGTTGTTTAGGCCCGGCTATTTCCCGGGAGGAGGAAATTTACTGCGCCTGAGACCCCGTGAGCCCTTGCACACACTGCAAGGAGGGCTCCTATGTCGGGGCTATTAACTTTCCTTGATTTTAGTTTTCTATTTACCTATCTACGTATTTATCTTCTCAACCATTCATCTGCATGTCTGTCGATCCATCCTTCATTCTGTCCGCCTGTCTCTTTTCAACCAATCAATCACTTCTCATTCGTCCGTCCGTCCATCTACCTGCCTACCTACCTACCTACCTACTTATAGTCACGATTTAGGGGTATGAAATGGATATTGGATTTATTCACCATTCGGAACTATACTTTACAGTTCAATGACACATAGAAACTAATGTCCTTAGTCTTTTACGGTATCAACTAGCCGTTTCCTGGTAATGTGTTCTACCGACACATATTCTACAGCTTCCCGCGCTCAAGTCCTCTTGTCACAGCCGCCCGTGCAGAACTCTTTGTGAACTGACAACTCAACTAACCGGGTCCCAGGCTGGTGGACATTTCACACCAACTTCCTAGCCTTCTCTTCATAGGCTGACTTCCAACTGAACTCTCTCACTTGCCAACCAACCAGCTACTTCACGTCACTTCACTCAACTCAACTGCTGACAACTCTAACCAACAACTAACTCGCTGCTGAGTCTTGAGTGTGAGTCTCATTTTAGAACCGACGGTCAGTCGGCCAGTCTGTCTTAGCATAAAGCACTCATCTGGAGCTTGCACCCAGATCTTTATTGTCTGACAGTTACGGTCTTGTTTCTTGTGGGCGTCCTCTCTGACGAGAGGACGGGTCTACCTTGTGTATATGCTGCTGGTCCTTGCCAGCGCAGTCTTTCTCGGGTCCGAGACCATATACTGTATTACTGTCTCAAATTTGAGACTTCCTCTTTCGTCGCCTCTTACGACTCGCAGGGTCACGGTGGAGGTATTCGAACCCGCCTCCACACGGGCCTAATTCGCTGCTCCAGATTTTCTTGCGTGTAACATCTCGGCACGAACAACATAGAAAACACGGTTTCCATTGTTATAGTCCAACAATACCTCGACCGCTGCATGGAAACGGGTATCTGTTTATCCGCCTACTGCATAGCAACA